ATATATATATATATATATATATATATATATGTATATATATACACGGAATCGATAGATGCCCTCTAGCGTCGGTTGTGAGATAGATGGCACATCGTGTACAAGCCACCCCCAAACAGGCGTATTACTACCACTACTACCACCACCACTACTACCACCACTAACTACTACTATTACCACTATACTACTACCACTACTACTAGCACTACTACTATTACTGCTACTACTGTTACTGTTAGTACTATTACTGCTGCTACTACTACTACTGCTACTACTACTACTATCAAAACTACTGCAAAGGACAGATACATTGGAAGATTCCGGTCAATCAGTGAAATCTTACGGGTCACTTCTGAAATTTGCCCTACCTCATGAACTTTGGATACAGTGCCAAAATTGGGTAGTGCATAGGCTTTCACAGCATTAACAACTGTCGAGAGAATTTCATATGACGACGACGACAACATGACATGATCGTCCCCAATTCGGGAGGAGGACAGTTTACTATGGTATTCAAAATAAAATTTTTCAGAATCCTTGTCCTTTCAATTTTATTCGTATCTTCCTTGAAAAATGAAGGAGTTGCTCATCATAACTTCAAGAAGCTTTCGATTTGTCCAAAAATTTTCATGAAAATAGCCGCAAGCAATTCGATTGTATGGAGAGATAAAGAAAACTTTGCGGAAAATTTGCATTAATGTTACAGCATCGTGTCACACACCTATATGTATATGTATGCATAACATTCAATCAACAATTCTGAGTTTTCACCTGACAACAAAAGAAAAAAAATAGAAAGAAAAAGCGAAACGTTAATAAAACTATCAGTGGTGTGAAGTACTGAAAGTATGGAGTATCAAAAATACTGAAAAAGAGGTGATAATACGGAAATGCTTACGCATTTCACGTCTCTCCGAACATCGTTTGTTTTTAAGTAATGATGGATAGCAAAAGTCATAGAAGAAAATGTTTCCCGATGATGAATGTTATCATTATAACCGAATATACGTATGACATCATAAAACACATTCCATAAATCCCCGCATTCCCCCGAACCACCTGATATCAATTTCCAGAAGCGTCATCTTGCACATCGAGGTCCGTTAAATGTTGACGCATTTTGGTGTGATGCTGGTGGATTTGGTTGTTTTGGTGTAAGTACTTAATGCGGAACGGTTGGGAGTTACGTGATAGTTAGGGTCCTCATTTCACTTTTTAATCGATAAGTTTGGTTGTTATCATGGATGGTTTTTGTTTAGAATGATTATAAGCATATAAACTGAATGTGATGATACTTTATTAATGATGGATGTAGATAAATGATGATGATGATGATGATGATGATGATGATTAGATGAAAATAAATGTTAATTGGTAGATAATGGATTATAGGTAATGCTAATTTTGATAAGAATCTTGCTGAGATTGTAAAGTGCGTAGGTTTACGTTTGGCTAATTGTGTTTATGTTATTGATGGTTTTTTTTTTGTTTACTAGAGGTGAAAAGCATAACAGAACGACGATGAACGATAATGTGAGGCCATCTGGAAAGGTGCAGAGATGTCGAATTTCACGGAACAAAAAACGGTACTGGAAAAAAGGTATACAAATCCAGGATGTGGAGGATTCTCTCTGTGAAGTTCAGTTTGACACTGTTAAAGGTAATGCCAGAAATAACCTCTAATTTCCGATGACATACATAGTTTAGAAGAGTTTCAAAAAAAGACATTTTTAAATTGAATTAAGTTTTTTTTTTTCATTGAATTAATCGCTGCTATGATAAATTAGTTTAATAATCACTTTTAAAGTATTTTATTATAATGAAACTTATTTAATTTCATGTGTAAAAAAGCAAAATGACAACAGCTTGTTTACCGTCGACAGGGAACCTGATCACAGTAATCTTAAATTAACTAGACGACAGAAGGCAGTTTTGATGAAGAAATTAAAGAAGACGGAGTTAGTTTGTTTTTACTCGTAATCGTTATGGATATTGTTTTAATATTATCCATCGTGCCGATAGGTGGAGTTTAATTTTTGAAAAAACGATCTTGTATTGTTTCAAAAATTGATTTTAGCAATGCCGTATCTAGAAAGGAGCTGCAGATGACTGAATTTTTGTCCTCAATTAATGGTAATTTTGTGCTTGCCATTAAAAGAGATTTTTTTTTTGTTCAAGTTTTTTAACAATATAACTTTAGACCTGTGGAAGAAAAGGAAAATCTTTCTAAATGTCAACTGAAGAAAACGCTTTTGAAAAAATCGAAAAAGCCAGTTATGGCTAAAGCTAGCTTTTTAGAAAACACGACAACCCAGGCTCGAAAACCGTATGATCTTTGGGGTATGGATTTCTCATGCTCGAAGTTTTTAGTGACATTAACTGTCGTTTAATCGTAAATTGTATGGTTCGAGGATTATTAGGCTTGATTCTATATTTTGTGCTAAAATACTGCTACGCATCTGCGAGTAAAAGTAGAATTTATAGCACAATAGAGGGACAAATTCTGATGAACCTTTTTTCTGAGAATGTCAAAAGTTTAATAAGGTTTTAGCTTTTAAGCAGTAATTAACTGCCTTGTATATGAAATTATTTTCTTTTGTGAGTTGTGGTATTTGTTATTCTGATATGTCTAATTCTTGCTTTTTTTAAGGCCAAAACTCAGAAAAGGAAGTTTCGTTAGCGGAGAAATATTATCTTTTAATTACCAAAAAAAAGTTGCCACAGAAACCGAAAACATTGAAGCATATAACGAGCATATTACAACATGTGGAAGTTGCTCCGGCGGGTGCCTCCTATAATCCACCTGTTTCTAAATATTTGGTCAGTAGGATTTAAACTTCTTTTATTTTTCAAGAATTTTAAACGTATTCCTTGAGAAAGAATATATATCTTAATCAGGATTATGTATATTTTTCACAATTGCTGATGAATTTTCTCGAATTTTAGACGATCGACTGTTGAACAATTTTTTTCCCATTTCGATATGCTTCATAACGTTATAATCCGTTACCTCTTTCTCTCGTCCTTTCAACTTTCCTGCTCTTCTTACTGCGTTTTTCTACTAAAAATTATACTGATTCCCAAATGTCAGTTCTTAATAATTTCTAACTGATAAATACATCTACGACTCTATGTGACTGTGCAAGTGGAGCGAATTAATCATGTATGTTAAGCTGCTCAGTATAAGTTGAACATTGTATTTTAGGATTATATTGCCGAAGTAGCCGAAGAAGAAAAGAAAAAAATTAAAGAAAGTGAAAAGCTGGAACGTGAGTTTGCACTACTTAAAGGAAAATATGCCACTCAGGTTTGCATTGTTCTTCATCTTTTGCCTTCTCAGTGGCGATTGTGATTTTGTTTCTATCTTCGCTTCAAGAAATATTTCAGGAAGAAAGAGAATTGGAATTAAGGGCAGGTCTTGATGATAATAGTGATAACTATGACGAGTTTGCAGAAGATGGGAATGAAATAGAACAAAACCTTTTTAAAGGTGAGTTAAGGTTCACTAGAATTTTTTTCTCTTATTTTTTATCACTGTGTTCAAAATTATATGAAAAGTTGTAAATCCTTTTTAAGAAAAAAGGCCAATCATTAAGCGAAAAACAAAGAAAACTAGATACTTGGAATATATGGAACGAAAACAGAAAGAAATTAATCATATGTCTGCATTCCAAAAAGAACAGATGCATCTTATTTACTCGTGAGTATTTTACAACGTTGTTTATTGAAAAGTTATACTTAGCAAGATTAAATCATTGCTTTGAAAACAGATTTTCATTTTCTCGAAAACGTTGCACAAATTAAAATTATTATAGAGCAAAGAAATTGAATAAAGAAATCTGTAAAGAAATACAAAAACGGGAAGAATTGGCGAAGAAACGAAAGGAGCACAAAGTTAGTGTAATTCATTTCATGGCGTTTTTTTTAATCTAACATTGAAGTTATTTTTAAAAATGCTTAATGCAGCAGAAAAAAATTTAGTGAGTCTGGGTCAACTGATAGGATGTTGAGATTAATATCAATTTTTATATTAGTTTTCCATGATATATTTTTCAGCTGATGAAAAGATTTGCTGGTACACAACGTTTAGGTCGCGGGAAGTTTGAACCGTATGAGCAATCAGTTTTATTAACTGAGGAATTGCCAGGTTCTTTGCGAGAATTAAAACCGCAGGTTTGTTTTGTTTAGTTGCTACTCGGAACTATCTTTTTTAGTCTTTTTATTATTTGTTCTAACTTTTTATGAAGCACAGTTGTTTTCCTTTATTCTTTCTGATGAATATTATTGTTTTGTATCCAATGTGAACATAATGGTATTATGAAATTTATTCTCTTGTCATTAATTTTATTCAAGTACGAAATGAATCAATATTCTGAATATTTTTTTCGAATTAAGTTTTTTTAATGGATCTCATAGATGCAATCAACTTTGTGATAAATCGAAGTACAAGACTTCACGTTTGATTATGCATATAGTTTTTTACAGGAATGCTTTTTTTCTTTCTCGATTATCTCTTTTTTTAATTAATGAAAGAGTCAAATGTTGTAGGGCAGTATTTTAACGGAACGCCTAAAGAGTTTGCAAAAAAGGAATGTGCTGTCAATCCCGGGAGAAAAGCAACGAAGAAAATTGAAAAACAAGTTGCGAATTAAAGAAAGAGAAGATAGGAAACATAAAGAAGTGAAACTTGGTACACGTTTGATATGATACCGGTACAGCTCGTTCGGTCATTCATTTTTTTGATTTGTTCATTTATTGTTAGTTCAAAAAAATTGAATGAATAAATCTCGTAAATTGATAGCAACCCCACAGAGGACAGCATTAAGAGACGTCCTTATTGTTGAAAAGTTGATTTCACAAGATTTTTTGCAGACTTTTTTCGAACTAAAAAAAGTCCTGTGAAAATTCTTGTTAGTAAAAAAGGAAATTGTGCTAGGGAAGAATCAACACAAGTAAGTTTTCTATCCTGACCAGTGATTTTTATGGTTCAGGTTTAGGTCCTGAAGTTTAGTTTTCAACCACAGCTTACTTACGAAATCATCGTTGTTAAATAATGGAGAGGAATTAACAGTTGACGAAACTGATGATTGTTGTCAGGATGGAAGGTACCTAAATGAGTACTGTCAGATGTGATGATTTAAATATGTCTTGTTCATGTGACAGTTTTTATTGTGACACTCGTTCACACTCATTGCCATCCTAGATTTATGACTGTCTTTCGACATTTTATAATGCAGCAAAAAGTAGATGATACTAGCAATTTTTAGAATGCTAAGATTTGACAATGTTAGCTGTATTGATCATATTTATTTCAGTGCAAAGATTTAATGTCGTTTATATCGAATGCCATAATTAGATATTAGTTTTTGTTCTAAAAGAACAACCAATATTCATTGATGTGAATGGTATGGAAGTATATCGTATAGTTAATGCTGTCGTAACAACACCTGAAAAATTATTGCCTGTCAGACTATAATTTTAGATATGAATGGTAAGGTGAATGGATAATGATATGTTATATGTTACCACAGCAGAAGCTGTACACAACTTCAAACCAGATATGATGGTAGATTTAGTTGATACCCATTCATTCTATTTCTCAAACTAACAGCATTGATTGTGTAAAAAGTTAAAAGGGTTGTTTATGGCATGGCATAGTCCCAGTAAAATAATGATTTTCGTGAGAGATGTAAGATCGATGCAGAAGTTAGATTTATATGTAATGATAGAATATTTAGATAGGGAAGTAAATGAGCGAAGAAGAATGGGACATGATGTTGATTTTTAGGTCAAGAAGGAGTTTCTCAGCTGAAAAATAAATGATATTTTGTTGATGAGGATTGAAAGACGGATAGGGAGAGAGGGAGAGAGAGAGAGAGAGAGAGAGAGAG